AGAATTCTGTTCCTGTGTTGGCCAGCAGAGGGCACTAGAGGAAAGGCAGCCTAGTGAGCATCGTTGGCCCTGGGAGGCTCTTTAGGGTGGAAACACCTCAGATTCATTAGCCATGTGTCCAAATGGGACAAATAGAAGGGTCCTTCCTTCCCCGAAGTCACATTCTTGATTGTGTGAAATTAAGATTGAACATGTAAGTGCGGCGCTTTCTTTGGGTCACAGGAAAATAAATCTGGAAGCTCATGAGCCCGTATGGAAACCTGGTTGCCCAGCCCTGGAGCCAGGGCACCAGCACATCTGTGTCTGAGCTGCCAGGGAGGGCTGGCTGCGCGGGAGCTGGGATCAGACACTTTCGGGGTCCATGGGATGGAGGCGACTCCTCTGTTCCCAACGCCCCAGGTGGCAGGGAAGCTGAGGAGACTCCCAGGGGTGTGCTGGGACCTCCCACCACGTCCCACAGATACTGACAGGCCTCCGGGGAGGGGCAGAGGCCGTGAGCCGGGAAGGGAACACCGCCAGCCGCCAGCTGGGCAGACCCCCAGGGCTTTCCCGATGAGGGGGCAGCCTCGGCAGCCCAGCCTGCGATGGGACCACTGCCACTGGACCACAGCGTTCGCCAGGGCCACAGAAGAACTGCGGGAGGGAACTTGGCAGGGATGGGCCTCCTGCATGAGGCGGTGGCTCCTGGAGGGGTTGATGGGCACTGAGTACATAGGACCACATTGGCATCCTGATTAATGGGGCCTGGCCTATTGGGAAGTGGTGTGTTAGTGATAATAATGACTAGCATTATGTTCTCATTAAGCAGGCTCTATGTGCCCGACACTGTTCTAAGCTCGTCTCATGAATTAACTCATGAATCCTGTCAAAAGCCTGGAGGGAAAGGGGCTATTAACACCCTCGCTTGCACATAAGTAAAATGAGGCACAGAGCATCTAAGTAACCTGCCCAAGGCCGCACAGCTCAGAAGTGACTTCGGTATAGAAACCATGATCAGCATAAGTGTAATGCGCCTCTTTTGAAGACCCGATACATATAGTATTATTGCAGCGCCCAGACTCCATGGGGCTCCGTGGAGGTACACATGAGGCTGTGGCCTTTCCTCCTCCTCCTCCTCCTCTAGGCAAAGGGGTGTCTCCCTGAACCCTGAAGCAACAGCCAGGGTATCTATGCGTATGCACCACATAGAATGAATATTTGCTACCGGCAATGAGCACACAGGCGCTCCTCACTACTCATGGACTCCCTATTCGCAAATTTGCCTGCTCGCTAAAATGTATTTGCAACTCCAAAGTCAATACTCCCGGTGCGTGAGGTCACAGGCTGATGCGCGATGCGCAGAGCAGTGAAACTCGGGGTCCAGCAGGGTCGTCCTGTGAGGCCCAACAAGGTGACTCTCTGCCTTCCTGTTTCCACTCTGGCTGTAAGCGTGTGTCTTTTCACGGCCTGTGTAGCATCTCCTTTCTGGCATTTTTGTGCTTTTTGGTGGTGATTTTGCTATGAGTGGTCCCCAAGCTCGGGGGGCAAGGGCTGGCTCGTGTCCTAAGGGCAAGGAGGCTGTGGTGTTTCTTAGAGAGAAAGCAGGTGCTAGACCAGCTTCCTCGGGAGTGAGCTGTGGCTGCAGAGGCTGTGAGCACAATGCTAGTGAGTCAACAATATAAAGGGTGTCCCAAAATTCACACAAGAAGTAATTTTGATAGAAAACACAGGTTTATAATTAAAAATTGTAAATTTTGTATTGATTCATAAAGTATACAGTTTAGGGTTATGTATGGAATAGCATATTGGGTAAATGGCCTCCATGGCTTTGCTGGCACATACGCATGATCTGGGCAGCCAATTCTGATCACCAAAACGGGAAATTACACGACCAGGAAATGACTCATGCAGTAATTCAATTGTTTCTTGGGCTGTATGGCATGTAGCACCGTCTTGTTGAAACCACATGTCATCCACATCCATATCTTGCAATTTAGGCACAAAAAACTTGATTATCATGTCGCGATAGCAAGCACCATTAACTGTTATTGCCTGAGCAGCCGTATTTTCGAAGAAGAATGGTTCGATGATGCCTCCAGCCCAAAATCTGCACCAAACAGTGACACGTTGTGGATGCATTTGTTTCTCAACAATCACTCGTGGATTTTCTGAACCCCAAATGCAACAATTTTGTCGATTAACCAAGCCATCAAGATGAAAATGAGCCTCATCGAAATTCAGCCACATTTATGCAAAACGGTCATGGAAAATTTCAACAAAAGAGTGCGTATGTGCCAGCAAAGCCCCGGAGGCCATTTACCCGATATGCTATTCCATACATAACCCTATACTGTATGAATCAATAAAAAATTTACAATTTTTATTATAAACCTGTGTTTTCTATCAAAATTACTTCTTGCCTGAATTTTGGGACACCCTTTACATTAAATTACTGCGAACAGAAGCACACACCAAGCAGCGTCACGTATTGATCAGTGGATGGAATTGGTCAAGACGCTCTTGGGAACCTGGCCCGTGTTTCCCCAATCCCAGTGGTTCAGTATTTGCTTATTCAGTGCCGGTGACTTCCTAGGACATAACCACCTTGAAAAATGAAAGCCAGTTACATATATTCAAGGTACAGTGAGTGTGCAGTGAGTGTGCAGTGAGTGGGCAGTGAGTGTGCAGTGACTGTGCAGTGGGAGTGCAGTGGGTGTGCAGTGGGTGTTCAGTGGGAGTGCAGTGGGTGTGCAGTGACTGTGCAGTGACTGTGCAGTGGGAGTGCAGTGGGTGTGCAGTGACTGTGCAGTGGGAGTGCAGTGGGTGTGCAGTGGGTGTTCAGTGGGAGTGCAGTGGGTGTGCAGTGGGTGTGCAGTGGGAGTGCAGTGGGTGTTCAGTGGGAGTGCAGTGGGTGTGCAGTGAGTGTGCAGTGGGAGTGCAGTGAGTGTGCAGTGGGAGTGCAGTGGGTGTGCAGTGAGTGTGCAGTGAGTGTGCAGTGGGTGTTCAGTGGGAGTGCAGTGGGTGTGCAGTGAGTGTGCAGTGGGAGTGCAGTGAGTGTGCAGTGGGAGTGCAGTGGGTGTGCAGTGAGTGTAATGAGCAAGTGCACAGCCTGAAGGAGCCACCCGCACCTGGACGCAGTCACGCTGCCCTGACGCTGTGTGGAAAGGGCTTTGATATACGGACACAGGTGGCCCTGCTTGGTGTCCGGACAAGAGGAGCAGGCAGTGTCCTCTGCCCAGGCTCTCCTGGAAGTGCTCCACTGAGTGGGCCAGTAGGCACCAGGCAGCTCACATACATTACTT